AGAAGAAGAAGAAGAAGAAGAAGAAGAAGAAGAAGAAGAAGAAGAAGAAGTAGAAGGAGGAGAAGAAGAAGAAGTAGAAGGAGGAGAAGAAGCTCAAAGCCATAAAATACTTTCAAAATAAGGAAAAAAAATCCAAATATTACATCTCAACTTTCTATATTTATCTTAGCTTCTTGCAACTAGTGATGTAAGACCTCTTCTTTGCTATTTGCCGCACTTAGATCAATCTCGAGATGAATTGTACCATCTTGTTCTCATCAATTTCTTCTTGAAGTCGGTTCAATTTTTCAACGACACGTGAATTATTTGTTTAGCTCTTTCATATATTTCATGATCCATCCATTTATAAAAGCCACAATACGCAAAACAACACATAATAATAATAATATTAAAAATAATATTAATAATAATAATAATAATAATAATAATAATAATAATAATAATAATAATAATAATAATAATAATAAGAGTAAAGGTTCATGAACCAAAAAAAAAAAAATATATTAAATTGATCTTTAAATCTTAAAAACATTACTTCATATTTAGGTCAAACTCAATATCTTCTTCTTGGGTTATGTGGAGTCCATGAAGTATTCAAGAGAAATTTGATCTCACAATACTTCTCAGCAACTTTTTTTTTTTGGTTGAAAGTCGAGAACTCCTGCTAATACCATAAGAGAAGAACATGATTATGTCCTTTTATAACTACATTTAACCTGCTGTAACAGGTCAGCAGTTAGTAAAAGACGGTTGCGCAACATGAAGTATGAATAGCTATTAACATACCGTAGATAGGGTGATTAAGTAAAGTGAAAATAGCTATTTTCACCCTATTTTGAAGTCCTGCAAAGTTTTTAACACCGCCCAATAAAAAGTTAAGTTTTTCACCCCAGAAAGTACGAAGAGATACGCGAAAAACTATACGATAGATATACGACCGGTATGAGCATGGGCGAGAAAATTATGAGTTAAAGTATGCAACTGGTCTACGACGAATATGCAGAGATTCGATGTACGATTCAGTCAATCGCGGTCTGTCGCCCATTAAATAATTATTTTTGTTAGGCGAATGAACTGCGACTATTAGTCGAAAAAATTATTCTGCAACATACCAACGTCGCATATTATTCGCAGAATTGGTGCATAATAAGTTTTTTTCGTATTTCTTTCATCTTTCAGTTATGCGAGGGGGTATGCGAATTGTCGCATATTGCTCTCATACCCCCTTCGCACTTCTACTCGAAAGTATATTTTTTATTTATTTTTTATTTCTTTCATCTTTCAGTTATGTGATGGGGTATGCGAATTGCCGCATATTGCTCGCATACCACCTTCTCA